ATTACTCCTGGTCTTTCCCAGTCCCATGGGGAAGTCAATGGAATCTGCAAGAGATTGGGAATGTTATTTATCTTGGCTAAAAGTCTGCCAGCAGGATTTCCGAATACGTGTCTTAAAATGATGGAAAAGAAGAGGTAGGTGAGCCGCTGGCTTTAGTGAAGAGACCAGAGCACTGCACTCACAGACTGCATGCTGTCCTGGTGTGTGGTAAACTAACTCAGGTTCTCTAACTAGGAAAGAATTCTCACTAACATTTCCTGGTTCCCCAGCTAATTGTGAGGGTCTGTCAGGGCAGGGAGGGGGACTTAATCTGTCAGCCACAAAGGGTAAAGTCTTGTGAAATAACCCGCACCAAACTATGGTCACCTCAAAGGGAGGCAGCATGACCAATGCATGAGATCTACTGTGTAAGCCCCAGGCAGATGCATGTAGAAACTGCTTGTGAATACCTCACCTTTCCTAATGGACCATCCTTTTACTTAAACTGTAAGATCTCTGAGGCAAGGGCTGTCTTGTTCTGTGTTTGTACAGCGCCTAGCACAGTGGGGTTCATGACAGGGGCTCCTAGGCACTCCCACAGCACACATAAATAACACCAATAATGCCGACTAGATGGGACTTAATCAATTGGCAGTCATCATAACATTCTTCTAGGCAAGAGGAAATTTGGCTTATGCCAACTCTGCTCAGTCAGTAAAATATTACCTACAGCAGCACCAGTGAAGACTTTACAAGCTCACCGCGCCACTTCCACAGTGCTCTCACGGAGAGAGAGGCAGATGTCCCAGGATCTACACTTTGGGTTTCTCACTTGGTTACACATTGTGCTATTATTGTGGCACTGAGGTCATCCAAATATGCTGAGCGTTTTGTTTTGTTTTTACAGACTATTAGCTACAGCATGTTCCTGCTCACTGTAGCCCAGTGTCATTTCACATTCTGCACGATAGCTCAGGTTCCTTGCTCCCTATAGATATGGCACTGGAAGTACACATTCAGATTAATTTACCTCTCCTTTTTCCACATTGTAATCCATTTAATTATATTGATTAATGCCAGCTCAATTGCCTTTATGAAAAGACACTTCAAGCAAAGTCCTGCAATTATGTCCAGGAGATCCTAACTCAACATACCCAAGGAAACGCCACTATTGAAAAGCTTCAACTGGCCCTTTCAAGATTTCTGTTTTAAAACCTATTAAACAAACAAACCAACCAACCCGACTGTGACAAGCCAGAAAGTTCGAACGCAGAGTATGAGTCAGTACATATTTACAAGGCAAACCCCATGGTCCGACTGCCCTCTAGTGGATTTCATGATGCATAACGTGGCCCACATTTAGCCTGCTTTTAATACTTCAAAATATGGTGCATTATTCATATCTATAAGTCAAAGTGCGTCCCTAAAGCTGACAGCTACAATATCATTAGGGTTACCAAAGGACCCATAGCAGTTTGCAAAATATTCAAACAGAAAAGGTTTCAGTCATAACTTAAAAGCTGTTATGTGTTGAAAGTCTCTTACTGAGTCTTGGGAGAGAATGCACAGAAAGATTTTAACTGAAAACTCTAGAGGGAGCATGACAAAATAAGTTCAAATTAAATGCATTCAGCAGAGTCAGGCTGTATAGGCACAGTCTGTGTATTTCTATGATAAGGTATAAACAGATGAATCTGCTAGACTATATTCTCATGATATTTCAGCCTCTGTTTCAAGTAGCAGACTCCTGTATTGTGATGTGTGAAAGAGCAATGATTTGACACCCCCTCTCCCACACCTAGTGGGACAGTGGCAATGCTGCAGGTGTGGCTGTGCTGTTCCCAAAGAGAGATTAACCTCTAGCGTTAGTTCAACGGGAGACAGTGTTTCAAAGTGTATGTGCTACAAACACTCTTGGATCCCCAATCAAAGTTCAACAGGAGGCCGCTCTGAACCCCTGCTCATATCAACAGGTTCCAAAGCATGAAAATGTCATTCTGTTTTGAACAGAACCTCCAGAGGATAGAGAAGAAAAACATCTCTCCAGGAGGTCTCCACGCCATAGGGCTAGGAGAGATTCTCAAATACAGGCATGTTCTTACTTTACTTGGCAGCTGTGTAATAAACTGCACAGTCTCCTCTGCATCCACCTGGAGACTTGAAATGGGCTCCCTATTACGAACTACACATGCCTCTGTTTCCAGGGGAGGCTAGCCACCATCCCTGACAAGAACTGGCCACCCTACAGGCACTAACTAGTTAAAGATGAGACTTTATGCAGCAAAACATTTACTAACAGATGACATTTTCTGGCAGTTCCTCAAATACAGATAGTCCTATAGACTTCAGTAACAACACCACATTAATAAGGTAATAAACTCACACACTGATGTTTAAACAGGCAGTTAAGTTGAGAGCAATCTGGTTAGCGCACCCATAGATAAATTGAAAAAGATTAAAAACAGCAGAGGGGGGAATGGCTTTCAATGAGTCGTTCATTTTTTATAGTACCTCCCACAGTGAAACTATCAATTACATCATTCCATATAAAGAGATGCTGCATAAATGGGCACACTCATTTTGCCTGATTTTGAACCCAGTCCAGTTCAACTCAAATTCTAGCATATTAGGTTTGTTTCCTGCTGAGGAAAAGAAGGGCAGTGGGAGAAAAAAAATATCTTGGAGGGGCCAGAGTTCAAAAGCACTCAGCTTGGACCTAACTCTCAGTGAAGTCAAAGGCAATTTTACCGCCATCTCCAATAGGAGCAACTGGGCTGAATGATTTGGAAAATATCACCCTTCAGTATATTTTAGCTGCACGCATGAACACACAGTATACATAGGGTACCACTTCTGCCAGACTAACTTTTGTTCCCAATGCACAGCAAAGCCTTCCCTTTATCTAGGAAAAGGTTGGATTTCTTTCCTTCTTTTTTAAATTGAATCATGCTTGTGGGAAAACTGCTGTGTTTAAAGGACAGGAAAAGAGGGTTCACAGACCTGACCTAGTTTTGCAAACGTGATGAAAAATATAGTCAGCGAGAAAAGAACAGGAGTACTTGTGGCACCTTAGAGACTAACAAAGCAAAAAAAGATAGTCAGCGAGGTTTCCCAAAGTTTTGAATTCCACAAGTTTCCTCCAACCCTACTAAATGACACTTTTTTTCTCAGCTAGACCCTAGAACAAAATACACTGGCATCACAGGTACATGCTGATTAAATAAGTGGTGTTTTCACATTTTATAAAGGACAATTAAATGAGGTTATTTATTCAGCCTATATCAATGACTCAAACCATCCGGAGGGTCTAGGGGTTAAAGAAATAAACCACGGCATTATACACGAATGGTACATTTCAGGTGGTTGTTGGAGGCCACTCCATGAGGCTGTAGGGGTTCACATCTCCAAAGCCCATGACGGTCTGAAGATACTGGAGATGAAAACGTTATTGCAGAGACTTCCTGCCTTGCAAATACCTTCTCTCAGGTTCAACAGGAAACTGTCCCTAGTAGCCCACATTCACAAAAACCTCATGCTATTGATAAGCTGGTTATTCCCCTGGGACTGACAGGTCGCAGTGCATGAGCCCATGCATAGATGCTTAGTGGGAGGTCTTAGTACTTTGCACAATAAAAGCACCTCTCATTGAAGGCTCTCCAATCACTTTACAAACATCAATGAATTAGCCACATAATTCCCCTGGAAGGAAGGATGGAATCATTATCCCCGATTTTAAGATGGAGAATTGAGGTACAGAGAGGAAGTGATTTACCCGAAGGTAGTGTCAGATCTGGGACTAGAACTTGGGAACGGTCAACACACGCTCAGGTCCTTTGCACAGTTGTGGTCAGGCCTCGTGCTTGTTGATCTGGTACAGAGACTTTGCCCAAACTTCTCATCACAAGGCACGATCTAGGCAGGAAAGATTTGGTCCTTTGTCTCTGTACCTCACCCCTTTTGACACAACATAGGAATGTGCCATACCAGATGATTCCAATGGTCCACCTGGTCCAGTATCCTGCCTTGACAGTAGCCAGATCAGACACTTCAGAGAAAGGTGTCAGAGACCCAGGTGACACATCCTGGAATAACCTGCCCATTGGAGTTGTTGTTCCCTAATCCCCATCAGGCAGTGGTTGTTTTATACCTTGAAGCATGTGGGGTTATACCCTGTCTACATATTTTATCCTACTGTGGATGTTCATATTGTCCATTAAAATGTCCAGTCCTGTTTTAAATCCTCCAAAGCTCTTGGCCTCAATGATATCTTGTAGCAGTGAGTTCCACAAGCCAGTTATGTGTTAAGTAAAAAGTGTTTCCTTTTCTCTCCACCCAGGGCCTTACACAGCTCTTGTTCCAGGTAATGGGTAGCAGTGAAACAACTCCTCCACTGTACTGGGGTCTCACAGACAATATGTTGCCAAGTTCTATGCTGTCACAGTTGAATTTTGCAAGCTTAAAAGCAGCATAGGAAGTGAGAATCCAACTAACCAATTCAAATTAAAATAAACTTCAGTCACTACTGTAGCTGGTGCATTCAATGCAGGGCCAACGCTTCCACTAGGCGACCCTAGGCAGTCGCCTAGGGCGACAGGATGTGGGGGGCAGCATTTCACCACCCTCGGCGGAATTTCAGCGGCGATTCCTCTGGGCGGAAAGAAAAGCGGCCATGGAAACGCCGCCGAGAACCAGGGCCGCCCAGAGGGGCTTCTTCCACTCCGGGTCTTCAGCGGAAATTCGGTGGTGAGTCCTTCACTCCCTCCGGGACCCGCCGCCAAAGTGCCCCGAAGACCCAGAGCAGAAGGACCCCCGCCGCCAAGAACACAGCTTCAGAGGAGGAGCTGCCGCCGATTACTGAGGAGGAGCGCTGCCGCCTAGGGCGGCAAAAACCCTGGCGCCGCTCCTGATTCAATGCCTTCTGTATTGTGTGTTCAGTGTTTTTTTGTTTTTTTTTTTTCTTTTGAGCCGAGATTGAAGCCAAGCAATGTGCTTTACAAGTTACCAATCTGGAAAATACTCACTCAGCGATGGTGTGGACAGCTTCGCTGAGTGGAGGAGCTCTGCTCTGGTGTTACTTAAGGAATTTGCAGAAGTCCTGAGATGTTCCTCTGAATTGGTGGAAAACTGGAACTGGACCGTGCCAGACTCAACCTGCTTCACCTGAAATTTAAACAGATGTAGAAAAAAATGAGATCTGTGCACACCCTTTTTACCCGCTCTCTGGAACAAAAAGAGTTCTTCTGCCAGGCATCCAACGAAGTTAGAATAAGAAATTGTAACGCAAGGCATATGGAGGCAGAACTATCAACAGATTGTTTTTTTTAAACGAGGTTCCCAGAAAGCTTTGGTTCTGTCTGAAAGTTATTTTCCTTGAGGCATGAGGGTTGTGGAATGACACTAAACTCCAAAATTATCATCAAATTTTCCTCCAAATCTCAGGTAGGATGGATTAATTACCAGAACTGTAACTCTGATTCTACAAACTGGGGTTACTGGAAGAAAGAAAATTATCTTCTATATAAAGAGGTTTATGTTACAGTTTGTTAGTTCAGTTACAGCATCACAATGTGGTTTGTGTGCTTTTTTGCACACATTGGTCTGTTCATAAACGTGTCCACCAGATCGAGAGTGAACTTTGGCTTTCCACTAGCAGACCAGCACTAGGAAAGAACTCTAACAAATAGGTTTGGATAAAAACAGAAGGAAGCAACATCTTGGCAAGTGTTTTGGGGGAACAAATTCATTAATCTACAGCATGATTCCCCATACAGTCCTGGACATCAGTGCAGTCACCAAAAAGGAGCAGAGGTTCCCCCATTACTGCATTAGATGGAAAACCCTTTGGACCCCAAGAAGGCATGGCTGCACATTTCCGTGTGATTCTGCTAACTAGACTGTACTACTGCTGTGTTCTTGTATTAAAAGCAGATCAAAATCTTCTGTAGCTAAAACTCCCTTTTAGAGAAACCCTTTCTAAATGTAAAATAGCCTTCAAATAGCCTTCTCAGCAATTAGAATGAGTGTCTTCTAGCTCAGGAGACAAAAGGAAGGGGAGATTGCTCTCTTTCGTGACTCTTTCCACCAGCCAATAATGAAATACACTCAACCCCCAGCTGTAATAGATTCATTTTTATCAGGAACCAGGCACCTAATTCCTGAAGCACACAATCCCATTCCAGGCATTTCCTTCCAAGGCCCCCACTGTGTTGGCTAATTTCAATTCTTTTCTATTATTTCTCCATTTCTATTTTGCCTGAACAGTTCTGCCTGTGCTGCACCGCATACAACATTCATTCTTTATTCGTTTTATTTTGTTAAACTGGAGCAGCCTCTACTATGGATTTACATGCTGTCATTGAGATCAGAATCTGGTTCCTAATCTCTCAAACTGCCAAGGCTCAAATGCAGGAGAAAGACTTAAAATGAGAGACGTGAGGGGGAATAAAAAAGCTTGACCCATAGGACTAACTAATTTCTTTAGCACCTTCTGCCTTCTCAATGAGGTTCATATCTCAAGAGTTGCCGCCAGATTATGGTTAAAACTATAAAATCATCTAGGAACAGTATATTTGTCAAAAGCTTGCACCCTTTCCCAATTCCAATGAGATGCAGATGAACAAATTTTCATTGAGGCTTCCCAGTTAGAGCCAGAAAAAGTCTTGGGAAAAGACTGTACGTGCAACGGAATGGACGAGCAAAACCATTCAACAATGTTTGCAAACTCTCCTTGCCCCCCCCCCCCCGTGTGTGAAGTTTAACAAAGTTTAAGCAACAGGCACATATCTTCACTCTCTACGCTATCAACAGTTAGGATCGAGAATAGACTCCAGTGTTATGGCTTTTCCCTATTAGTGTGTGAATGTGAAGGACCCGGTTTAGTGTTATAATGGAATTCTGTACAGAAAGCATCTTTCTCAGAGATGAGTGCTTGTTCTGCATCACTAGCCACAGACCCTTACTAAGCCACCCAAACATTGGTGGTTTCCCTTTGGCCTCTCTAATATTAAAGGGCAGCTCCAAGGGAAGTGAAGGTTCATATAGAGCCAACAGTCTTTGCTCTGAAGAGCTTACAGTTACGTGCTATTTTTACGTACATCACCTAGCACAAAAATGGCCCCAAGCCTGATTGGGGCCTCCAAACACTGTCAAAATAAATAATTTTACCAAATATATGACAATGCACTGGGCATGAATGTCATATAAATAATGAACACCAAACAGCTGATAAAATAAATGCACAATGTGTATTTTCTGATGCATTATCCTTCCTTCTTTTCCCATGTGTGTTCGCTCAATGGCTGGTTTGCATTGGGTTTGGGCTACTTAGCAAGATTATTGAACGAAGCGTTTAAAATAACAAGAAAGCTCTGTGCCATGTGTGTACTGAAAACAGGGTGGTTTTGATGCACCTTTGCTAAAGGAGTGCTCAGAGGAGCTTCTTTTTACCTCTTCGGAGCTCATACTGGTGGGCGGCATCTTGTAAACTAACACATGGCTGGGGTTCTGCTGGGCGCCTCCTTGAAGTGGTAAGATCACTTCCGTGGAACTCGAGTCCAGCAAAGGATTCCAAACAGTCCATCGGATGGAATGCATATAGGCTGCTTGAGTCAAAGAGGAAATGGACAATGCCTAGGATTAAAAATATATGTGAGAGTAAATAACCAGAGATGAAGAACATTTGGTATTGTGCCATGACTCTATCTCTGGGTCACTCTAGACTGCTGTCATCCAACCCAAAATCAAATAGGATCAAACCAAACACCAGCCATTTTCTGCCTACTGAATGGTAACAATCATCTGTCTTTAGCCATCTTTCGTTGGAACCTCATCACCTCTAGGCAGAGTGACGGGCAAGTTCTCTGCAGCCTTTTTCTTATAAAAGAAAGATCAGGTTGCTGTTTGTTTGGCTTTCAACCATCATCAATATTCAGAATGAACAGTGCATCGCACCATAAGCTTTGACCTAGAATGAACACAGATGCATATACATTTCTGCACAACCCATGAACATTAGAAAAGAAATTAGCCTCTCATCTCACTGCAGTTGCAAATATTTGCAAATACTCCACATGATTAGGCCTATGTTGGTTACTAATTTACACACACAATTATTGTTATTGAAGAGACTGCTATTGCACATCTGAAAAATCCTAAATCTCTGCACGTGAAGGCTGGGTGTTCCTAGGATACAGGAGGGAAGCTATATTGACTGAGAGGCGAGATACCATATTCTCCCATCTACCAACACAGAAGGGTCATTTTTCCAGCTGAACAATAATAAATAGGAGGGACACAGTAAAGGACTGTGAACAGCAGTGCTCCAATATTAGTGCAATATAGAGAACGTGAATACCAGCCACTCCCCCAGGATTCTTCCCGGCAGTTACGTATTTCCCCTTGTGACCTCAATATTGTAGCCATAACTTCCAATGGTTTCAACCCAATTTTGAGATGGACTATTTGAAGCCTGTTATCTGTCTTTCCAGGCCCACATTTTGCTCATAATGTAAAAAATTCTCTTCAAATCCCTGAATTTGCAGGTTGTTAAAAAAGTACCAATATTAGCTTTCTGTGTTAAAAGGAGCTGTTGAGCCCTCATGGAGAACTTGGAATAGCTTGCTACAACGGTGCTTAGATTTAGCACAAGTTTTTGGTTGTCTCATCTACATACTTTGTCACTGGGAGCATCTGCATGAACAGAATGAGCTGTCTGAGGTCACATATCATCTCAGAGGCATGGCTGGAGACAGTCCTGGCTCTTAGTTCCCTGCTTTAACCGTTGGACCACATTTATCTCTAGAATGTTTTATTTTACAAGTACACATCCAGTTTATCCACAACGCAAGTGTAACAAATCTCTGCCATGTGTGCTGCTGATACAACATTTCCTGGCAATCAGGCTATGTGATAACTGCACTTCATACCTTTGTGACATAACCAAACAGCCTTTCCTCCTCTACTTTTGGATTAACAGCATGCAACATTTTCCATACCAAGCACTCAAAAATGACAGCCCCATTTCTCCTGCACTACGACTATCTGGCCAAATTTCAACCCAGAGCCAACATAAACTTTGCCTAGCAGGGTTTACAACGTGAGTGCTAGCACTAACCCTGCTGAGGGATTATCATCAGTGCCATAATCACTGGGACTGTGTTCCCCACGATGACATATTGCCTGTATGGATACGGTGATTTGTTTTCTGCCGCAAGGACCAGTGAGACCATTAAAAATAATTTTAATTCCCGCATTGACATAGCAGTATAAATAGTATACGTCTGGACCTGGTCCTCCAAGATGGGAAATGTATTCTAAAAAGAAGCTAAAGGGTTCCACTCAGACAATCACTTTAAAAGCCTCCCCTTAAAATCAGGCATTATAGAAGGGTCTGTATAAAAACAAGCTTACAGGTCTGTCAGTGATTGAAATCCCTCTTGTAGCTCCCTGCAAAGTGCTGATCGTGGCACAGAAGACGCTGTGATTAGCGTGGCAATCAGCTTTGGGATTAACCGCTTTGCATAAAGGGAGTGCAGAGGTTAATTGGGTTCACTCTGAAGCCATTGATGGCCTGGCTTGACGGTTCCCATCGGTGCAGTTTACGGCACACCGGCATGTCAGGTGGATGCTAATCCCGTCTCAGGCTCAGTAACCCTTTAGGAATGTGAAAGTCACAGACAGCCGCTCTGAGGGCGGCCGAGGATACGGGGTTGCCCAGGTAGCATTTTTTGTGCTAAATGAGTTGACGCTCCAGGCTGAATTATATGTGTCAAGTTCATAGGCAAGGACAGCGGCGCGGCCAGCATCCCGGTGCAGCACGCAGGAGAGAAGGAGAGAGGGCGATGTAGGCAGGGAAGCAGCCTCTTCGGTACAGCATTTGCTGCAGTGGTAGCTGAAAGGAGGGACATTGCCATGGGCATGCCAAAGGGATTCAGAATCGTTTAAAAGCACCCGCATTGGCCCAACTTTTCACCTATGGGAGTTTTACCCATTCTTAGGCTAGCGCTAAAATCCCACCCTTCTTCTTTTCTTTTTTGATTTGAAGCACATGCAGCAATGCCCACTTCCCATCAGCCTCGTTCTGAATGTAATACCCCATTGGAGACATGCAGCTTAAACGTCTCCCCAGTGCTGCCTGATAACTCTTTAGGGAAGGGGTTTCCTCATTCTGTGCCTAGTTTAGAGCCCAGGACAATGTCAGCACTTACATAATGACAACAAGGACAGAGAGACTTCGAAGAAGTTTGCAGAGACTCCATTTTTCGACTGGGTTTATTCTGCCAGCAACAAAATCTATGAACTAGGCAGGAAGTTGCAATGAATGACCCTTCTCGAACAGTCACAGGAGAGTGGAGACTGTGGCTGAAGACCTGTTATTTACCAGCATCCTCACAGACTGCAAGCTTCAGGCACGATACAGAGCAGCATTTGTAGGTGTGTTTATAAATCTCTGTTGGTTGCACAAGGCAACAGGGAATGGAACTAGGAGCATTTCACCTCAAAGTTGGCCCACGTCAGCAGTGAGCAGTCAGCCAACATTGGGTGGGTAAGGAGACAAAGCTTTCTCAGCAGCCAGAAGGTATCATAACCACACACCTCAGGGCCCTGAGGACTAGATCTGAGACCAGCTTCCTTGAGCCACCCAGTCTGGCCAAAATATTTAAAGGCTAAAATAAAAAATCTCCATTTGAGAGGTGAGAAGAGAAATGCAGAGATTCTGAGCTCTCTGGGAGTATCAGTTTGGAATTGATGTAGGTGCTGAGTTCCTGGGGATGAGCCTGGTGAATGTCTCTGGATGGAGAGACGCAGATATGACTGAGGCCCAGGTCCTATTGTACAAGGGATCATATCACTAAAACTACTGTAAACTATTAGCAGCCTCGGCTGAGGGCATGGACGGACTGAGCCCTGGAGGCTAAACTGATCTCTTAGCAGTGCTCCTTCCAGGGCAGCTTTAAAGCACATTGGTAAGGAGACAATGTGGGACAAGCAAGCAGCTCCTGCTGCTTGTGCTGTACCTGTTCCATGGCTAAGCAGACGACTTCAGCCTACCGAGCTCTCGCTCCGGGACCTTCTTCCAGAATTAAATACACTTTGATTCTTTATTTTTTTAAAACTACACCTAGAACTGGACTTTCGCTCGAATACATTTAAGTTTCTTATCACTGTACAAAAATAAATAAATAAAAATCTGCATTCCAATACCCAGACCTCTGCAGGTTCTTGGGTTTTAACTTTTTAAATTTGTTGAAGCCAATATCTAATTTTCCAATTGTATGGTTCCCTTCAGCTTGTCTTCTCCCAATCAATACAAATCCCATCTGCCAGTAGGGCATGTGTCACTTATATAAATATCCATTTCCCCCCAGTTTTCCTTTGGACAGCTCTAACGAGAGACGACATTTACTGCATTATCAATGACCCTCTCACAGTCCTCTTAGCAGGACAATTAGGGACTCATAACAAATCAATTGCTATTGATTAAGCTGCACATTCTTACTACAAACTAATGGCTGGAATAGTAAAGGACCCTTGTAGGTGACAGCCTGCACAACACGTGCTAGAAAATTCCCCAGCACCTAGACAGAGAGACGGGCAAGCCATGTACATGGAACAGGGCAAGAGGACCAATTTATCAGTCCACCAGGATGAGACTCCCCTGCTGTCTGCCTCAGGCAGTGCATGCAAAACGGACCATTTTAAAATCCCTTGTCTCCCTGAATTCGGTCATCTTTATCCAAGTCATTAGGGTCTCAATTTACTAAAATAACGCAAAAACGGCTCATCCAGACAGTGCTGGCTCACACAGCTGAATAATTTTAATGCAAATCTATGTGTTCTCACTCTCACTATAAGCTAGCAATGCAAAGCACTGAATGATTCTGGCCATTTTAGCAATACTTTGTGGCTACCTTCTATTAAAGCATTAGACGCAATTGTTACAGGAGGTTGCACTTGTAACAGAGAATCTTGCATTAGTGAGCTTTTCTGTATGGAAAAAATACAAAAGATACACTCTTCACCAAAGAAGCGAAAATGTTCTTATTTTGGATTTAGATACTATAAATATAACCTACTGTAAGCCAAACCTGCCCCCTTTTTGTGATAAAAGCATTAGACGGATCTTTTTTAATTCCAAAGATTAACTCATTTATTATTTTACATATTTACTTATATTACATATGAACTCATCATGGGTCCTAATTACACACACACAATATTATTAAAATCCGTTCACACTGAACCGACGTCCAAAACCTAAAGGCTTCCTAAGCCCTCTTCCACTCTCCATGAAGCTCAAATTGTCCCACCACAGCCTGAGTCCCAACTACTCAAACCCTCCAGGTTCAAGACCACTGGGATAAAATGGAAGACTGCAGTAAACAAACCTATCCTGGTGTCCATATCTTGCTGAGAGCTCTCACAGGGATAGCCTAGACCTTTATTCCAATGTGTGGCTGCTAAGAGACAGAATCCAGGCACAGCAACCAGTACAGGTGATGAAGACAAAGCTGAAGGCATTCCTAAGGGAGATTCCTATCTTTAATGGAGGATACATTTATATAGCATTAAATGGACTTATCCTACCTGGTATTTCAAGGAGTGAAAACTACCATCTACGCAGGGAAGAACATAGTTGCAACATTGCATCAGATCACTGACGCATCTTGCCCAATGTCCTACTGCTGGAAATGGCCTATACTCACTATTCAGGATATAGGTGGAGAAGCTCACGTCCATTCTCATCCCTCCCACTACAATATAATGTGAAGTTTTATCCCATTGAGATCAACTCAGTGCACGAGTTTGGTGTTGTGCCTAGGGACCAGGCAATCACATCTCATGGTCTGGGGTATGAGATGTTCACGCGTGGGGTTTGTGTGGGGAGGAATTTATTGCATGATCCCCATTTACAACACAGATTCCATGGAATTCATCAGCGTTAAAGACAACAACAGTATGAATAGCTTTCTGTCTGTTTGCCACAATTTTGCATTGCTCCAGAATTTGGACTGAAAAACTGGATGAAATAATTTAAATGTGTGTACTTATTTCAATAAATGTATGCTGGCATGCATAATATTAGTACAGGAGATTCATCCAAAGTAGGAGAATTCTTATGATTTTGAAATCCTCAGAACAATAAAAGATTTAAACTCACACATGGAGTTAAGGATTCAGAAGAAAGGATGAATTATTTTTATAGTGCAAAAATTCAATTTTGTGCTAAAACCTAAAGAAGAATTCGCTTTTTAAAAGCTGAAATTCTCCAAATAAGCTTGCCAGAGCACTCCAGGACTGCTGCAGGCTAGGTTTCTCCATCTATAGTGGAAAAAATTAACATATAATTAGAAAGATTTCATAAGCCCATTTGTGCCACATTACATGTGAGACCATTGAAAAGCACTTTGTCATTTTGATGGGCGATATTTGCCTTTCTATCCTACAGACTGAAATAGTTCTTTAGAAGCAATATGTGAGCTACAAAAGGAGCTATTGTTTGATTCTGAAAGACGCTTTATAGTCAAGTACAATTTTTGCTCAAGGTTTTATAATGTTCCAACATAACATTAAATATTTAGATCAACACAAGGTGGGAGTCAGATTCTCAATTAGTTATGATTTTAGCACAAAGGGATCCACATTAAGAGCCTGATCTAACTCCTGCTGAAGACTTCCATTGACTTCCATGGGTGTTGCATCAAGCCCTAAGAAACAACCACCACTTTCTAAAGAGTGGGGTGAATCCTGAAAAGTTGTGTTTATGCACGTGTTCGAATTCTGTAGTGCTCTTCAGTTCTGCCACATTCCTGACACCTTACTATTCGCTCCTTAAAAAGACTGACGCAAACAGGTTTTGTTCACATGAGTGTTTGGGCAACGGCCGATCCTCATATACATACTTCTATGTGCCTGAGAGGTTATTTGCTATTCTCCTTTCTAAGAAGGTTCAGTGGCCCAGACATGGAGAACAAGCAACGTCATGTGATTTGGGTGACCAATATAATGAATAGTGAATAGATTAACTGAACCAAACAACCCACAGGCTGAAAACTGTTTGTCCAAACTACCTGGAGAATACTTAAGAATGGATTCATGCACAGATGTCAAGAGCATGAATCATTCAAGGACAGAACAAGCAACTAAATTCCCAGCTAATATGATTCGCAGCTCTTAATTTGACCAGCTCTACTTTCTAGCTTGCAAATCAAAGGGAATACAGAACAGGATAGAGCTGCGGTGCCCAATGATATTAACAGGCAAATAAGCCCAAAGAGCTTTTAACATTTAGCCTCACTCAGCACTTCCTTCAGCAATAACAAATTGCCCTGAGAGCCTATTGTTAGGGGCAGGTCCAGTGATGGCTGGCATCCAAAGGTTAACGTGTGGGTAGCTTCTTTCTATGGGATGGAACATTTTAGATACGCCTCTGAGTGACTGAGCTATTGACCCTGCTCCTTTGCTCACTGTCTATCTTTCCAGGTGCCCTGTAGCATCAGAATGCTTACCAAGAGGAACAGTGATCGTTTCTCTCTTCTTCCTCTGCAGAGTTAGTGCGGTTTTTCTCCAACCTACACTGTAGCCACACCAGGTTGTGAGTTCTAGTCTCGACGCCTCGTGCACGCTATCTGATTAGCAGACAACGGTCTGCACGACACCTCCGACCACTACAAATCCTCTGAGAAATCACGTATTCACAGGATGCCTCACCTGACAATTTTCATTACATCTGTAGTGACCCATGGAGAAGGGGCAGCTGCACTTTTATTTGCAATGGTGAGATCTTGTGAGGGAAATGAAGGCCGATTAGGCACAAGAGGGGAGGTGGCTGTTGTTAGTGACTCTTACCGATAGTGTGAGTGTTTCTGTGTTGCACTAGCAACCAAAGGATTCCGTTACAGATCCCGCAGCCCAGACATTCCTGAGGCAGCGTGAGATGCTGGGGGCCAGCTGGGCTCTACATTCAAGCCACTGTCCACATGCAGAATAGGACAATGGGTAAACAGACACTAGCAATCTCCAGGTGCTGAATTAAGTGACATGCCACACAAGCAATTCAGCTGTCAAGGCCCAATCAGCTTCTCGACTGTACTTGTTCCTAAAAGCACCTAAAATAAAACGGAATAGAAAGCCACTTCCATATTTATCTGAGGGCCTGTAAAGTTAACAGAAGAGAATGAACTGAAGACTAGGAAACCAAAGCGCTTATCTTCTGGGACTTTGTTGAGAGAGTGAAGGAGAAGCCATTGCCTGAGGGGTTTAGGGGATTGAAGGAGAAGGACATGCAATGCTAAGCAGGAGCGTGAAGGCGCTGCTGCTGTCACAAAGCAAAGTGACCTTCTGGTTAACAAATAAAGACGTTTCAATAGTTTCACCGTGAGACAATCAGAGCTGTTCTCCAAGTCACAGCTGCTAAGTGCAGAACATTGTAGGCTAACATGACAAATATAATCAAAATTTCCAATTTGCAGGACCAGAGACACACAGGGATTAAGATAGATAATTTAATTAATAAAAGCAGAGGAATCTATAATTAGCAATAACAATTTCATTCGGAATTTTCACCAAAAGAAATACGGTAAGTCTGCTGTACAGTCTTTGAAGGATCACTTTGTTTAGGGTGCCTTTCTTCGGGTCTGTGTTCAATACCTGTTATGTTGCAAATTTGAGATTTTTAGTCAATAGCCATTTTTAAAGAACACATTTTTGTTTTTCTTTCATCAATGCGCTTACTGGGTAAGTAGATTGCTACTCAAGAGTGATGTATTGTGAGAAAAAGCAACAGGGAGGAAAACCAGAGCATTACCAAGTGCATTTGCAAGAGCTAAGACCCAGTGATCATTTGTATTAATGAAAAGGATTAAATGTGCTAGAAATAATTATCAATAGGGAGCGATATGTTACGGTAAGTAAAACTTCTAATTCATCTGATAAACCAAAGAAAGCACAAAACACTAAACCACTGCTGAAATTGGAGTGTGTGAGATGAGAACTCCTAAGCCTATATACCCTAGGTGCCCAAATCAAGAGCACCTAATGAAATAACAAAAGTTTTAAGAAGAAAGAGCCTGGCTCTGCACACATTGAGGTCAATGGGAGTTTTGGGCACCAGGGGCTTAACGTCTTTTTGTTCTACAATGTCAGCAATTTCTGGGAAAATCCACATCTTCCTTTTTGGAACACTTGACTTCCACTCTGTACTGAAGAAAGAACTTTGTCTGGCTGTTAACTGAAATCCAGTACTTTGTTACGATGAAACCATTCTAACAGAGAGAATTTATGAAGTATCGTACAGCCTCAAAAGCAAGGCAAGAGGAGCGTATGTGCCAAAACAGTCTACCATGGCTCAAATATTTCAGAGAAGGCTTAAAAGCAACCAAATTTAACATATGACTCACAGTGTGTAACACTCAGAAACAGCTGTAAATCATCACAAATATTCTTGGGGACCTCAGCTTAGTGTTTATAACTTTACCATGGGGGTTGGAAAACCTTAAACTTGTGGCACAGCTCTGAGCCATAAGGCTCCAAAAATGTTTCTTTCAAGATTCTTGAAAACAGGTTTCCCCTGGTATAAATTCTCATTGCCCCTCCTGTATATCAAAGGTTGCACTGTAATGCAGGATTAAAGTTGTCTTTATTATAGATGTCGCACAATGTATATTTTTTATCTGAATCATTTTGTTCACTTTACCAGAAGGTCAAGCTTTCAAGAAACAGTCTATCATTTCCAGACCTTTTTTGCAATGAAAACTTTCCACAAACTTGTTTCTGAGCTTAATTTTAAGTTGTTCTGGTGATTAAAACAAAATATCAATGCAGTCCTGAAAAGAATGGCTTCATTACAATAAATGTAACCAATAATTTTGAGTTACAAGTATCTGTCTCTTCAATTTTTCTCTCATCTAATCTGAGAATACTAGTTTAGTGGGCTGAAGGAGCTAAAATTATTATCAAACTAGACGACATGCAGTACAATTCAGCATTTCAAAAATTAGAAAGCCAGGCATTAGCAAGAAACCACTCAATTTTTCTTTACAGGGCTCAACATCTTAACCTTTTCATAAGGAGTTGTTCACCTGTCTTAAATACCTGCACTAATTATACAGCAGCCAAGAATTGCTCAGAAGGTGCCATTCGTCTATTGTCTCGGTAACAGAGGATTGTAAAACTTGGACAGAATATATAGTTACACAATCGCATTCTGGTCTATCAGGTACAGATTTGTGTTCTTTAATAATTAATCACAGAAAGGCTAAAAATGTCACCGATGAACCAGAATAGCATCAAGAATCTATTGTGGTCTTTTGGAAAAATATGATGTGTGACTAGTTCAGGAATGTCAGCGACGCTGTACCTGCACAGTTTGTAAGCACTTTGGATCCTTCAGGACAAAATGGGTAGTAGAAACAGTTATTCGTGAGTGTTACATTCATTCTTACCTTCCTGTCAGCTCCACTTGGTGCAGAGAAGACATACTCCAGCTGGAAGACAATTGCGAATGCTGGGTGACGGACCATCTCGGTCAAACGAATGCGGCTTCTCAAAACCAGAGCTTGACCTACCATGCTGCGTTGGCATGTAACAAAATGACAGATTAAATGGGGGCTGTTTATTATAGTCCTGCAGAAATTAGCTTCCAGCTGATCCCAGCTGCACTGCATTCCTTGCTGGTGATCTGTGGGTACTGCATGGCATTGAGCACAGTTCTAGAAATCATTATAAGTTGTTATTTGTATTGTGCATGCATCTAGGAGCCCGGGCCATGGACCAGGACTCCATGGTGCTAGGCGCTGTACAAACACAGAACAAAATGACGGTCCCTGGCCCCCAAAGATCTTACAATCTAAGAGCAAACCTGATACAGACCTTGGGAAACTGCTTCTAGAGTCACTCCTACAAGTTCAATTAATTCACTGACATTTTAACAGTAAAGGCTTAGTACAGCCCGAAGAACATGGCTGAACTGTAGTAGGCCAACCACCAGCCCCTGAGAAACATTCTTCTCTCGAACACCCAGACTTCTTGTTGGTGGTTGTTCCACCTCAAAAACACCATGGGCCTTTTTAAGAAAAGGACGAGTCATTCAGAGCCCCGCTGACCCATAGCGGCATGGGTTGGACAGGACCTGAATCTGCAAACTCCTCGGCTCCCTCTGGAGATGGGAAGGAGCTCAGCGCCAGGCAGGATGGGGCCCAGAGATGGGTAATGAGCTTGCTCCCTCAGCCCTGCCCATTTTCCAATTCTGATTTCTCAGAACTGAAATCCAGGGAGGGCAGGCAGGGAAGCCGTCTGCCACTCTAGCCCCGTGGACTGCAGCCCATCTGCCCCTGACAAGAGGAGGGACATGGAGCACCGTAGTGCAGCCAAAAGCAGAAGAAACCAGCCACTCTTCAGCAGTTACTGGTCCTTTCACCTCGTACCTTGGTTTGGCGCTGAGGCCTTGTTTCCTGTGGAAGCTGGCCGAGCGCCCCCGAGCCACCTCGGCCTCTGGCACCAACACCACCACCTGAGGCATCTGAACGAAGCATAAGCCATTGTGGACCCCGATGTGCAGCCGTCGTTCCTGAATGAGAACTTCGCTCCCATCCACCGTGGAGCTATCCTGGGAAACGGGCCCATTTCACCAAGGTTACATCACAGGCTGAAATAATCAACCCCACCGGAAACACGCAGCAGTGGGCTGGGAGCTGGGCTTTCTCCCCTTCCTTCCCCCAGCCAAGAAATGGCAGTGGAACAATCCTGCAGAAGCTGCTCCATCATTACGGCCGGAGCAGCCCTGAGCCTCCATGGCCCCAGCCCCATCTCCAGCTCTGCTCGGAGAAGCTGGGAAGACCATTGCATTAACATTGCGACCACGCCTAGGGATGGGCTACACACTTCATCGGTCCTGCCTCTGCCGCCCAAATCTGGCCAGCGGGGACTCCCCGTAGTGGCCTTGGAGAAGTGTACCTTTCCTTTTTAACATGGTTGAGCATGCAAGGAGTGCTATTCACATCCATGGGACTACTCCTGTGCTTAAATTTAAGCACATGCTTAAGTACTTCGATGGATCAGGGCTGAAGCACTTGGCGCCTGGCGAGATTAAAACCCTCAGCCGGGACATGGCACAATACGACATGGAGCAGAGCCCTGCAAATCCATTTTCATTTGTGAGTTATGTTTGCTCTTTGCCTGGTTCTCATGCCTCTAGCCAATGAAGTGGCATTTGGAAGATTAGGAAGGAAAATTTAGGCAATTAATCATAAAGTCATAAAAATGGAACCTGCCCCAGAGTGATTGCTAGATATTAAAGTGTTTTATCTTAACAGAAAATCCACAGCAAATATGACAAACAAACAAGGATTTTCCTCCCGGTCATTATTGCTTACTAAATTATATGATATTTGAAAATGAACATTAAACCTTAAAGTTCCTTTATCTTCCCATTAATCAAAACAAGTTGACCAAACTGCAACCTATTAGTGTTTGAATATTCAAAACATAAACCACGGAGAACAGCTTTCTGATGATCAAAAAGAAACCCAAGAAGTAAAATGCTAAAACATAATAAAATTACTTTCATGGTGGAAAATGAGCACACTATCCCTAAAGCAGCAATCTTGTGCTAGTGCCATTTGTATAAATGTTTCTATTCTATACAAAAACAAAGCAACAGCGTTAATGTACTTTCTCCTTGTTTGCTCCTTAAAACTAAAATAATCGCCTGTTTTTTGTGTCTCAAAATAATTTTGTGGAAAAAAACAAAAGTACTGTAGCTGTTGCAAAATACCCAACCAAAAAACCCCCCCAGGCCCACTGCTAATTTTAAACCTTTCACATTCCTCCTCAGCTGGGACAGGGTAAGTGGTAAATCATGTGAGATGGGCACAGACAGAGGACAATGCAGTTCATCGTGCAAACATGCCATTTTTTTGCTTCTCTGGTTTTTAGGGATTTTTTTTTATCCTGGGGGGACAATAGTACCGAGAACTGGAAGCACTGCAGAAATAGCTCCTCTTTTGGCCAGTGATATTTCTGTATTTCAAGGAAAATGGCTGTGCTTTAAGCCCCTGAATAATTATTTTAAATACTGAATCAGGAGCTTGTGCCTAATCCCTCCTTTTTAGCTACCTGGGGCTTTAATAACAGGATTGTGACTGCAGGGATTTATATCACAAATGCTGTGTGATAACATCAGCTGTAGGCAATGCCAATACCACGCTCGGTGATCTGCTGACTTAGCCAGAAATAAAACTGGCAGCTACACATGCCTATCTTCTACCTGTGTTACCTCCAAATACTGCAGGGCTTAGGCATTTGCACAAACCCCACACTGATTGAGCAGTTCAGGGCAAAGGCTTCTTCTCCTGTCCATTGTCTGGCGACAGAGTCTGAGACCAGTCGTATCAAGACTAGCCATTGCAGACAGATAAAGTGGCGCCTGCTCACCTTAACAAATGGGAGAAGTATGCCAGAGAAGGACATGCCAGTGCTCACTAACGATCATGTATTGCCAATGCATCTGACGGAGAATCTTGTAGCTGAAGATTCCTGGGCCAGACACCATGACTGAAGCAAGGCTGGGGCAGATCATTACAGGGTTGGGAGTCTGAGAGAGAGCCCGGAGGCTTTAGAAAATTGTGGTGGCCATTCACTAGGCAGTGTTTCTTGCCCTTGGCCAGTGCCTCACCATCGGGCTAAAGGGAGGTTGGTGCAGTCTTTGGGAAAAGATGTAAGACCCAGGTCTTGCTGTCTGTGGTCATTACATTTCCTAAGGTGCTTCTCACAAGTATAGGGAAGTTACTCTCTGGATCCTGGCCAGGTTCTCACTTGGCCAATCATATTGCACCTCCCTACACAACCCTTCAGTTAGATACGGTATTCTGCACAACTTGCTTTGAACTGTTGTGTAGCGTTGCTGTGCACTGTTAGACAGCTACCACGTTTCATCCCAGAGCTTGCACTTCAATGGTAGGCAAAGTAATTCATAGATATGGTTTATTCAATTGCCAGCAAAGCTATTAATATGCATCTAGATGAAAACCTTCTTATCAATGTCAGTTTATTAGCATGATAAAAATACCAAGATGATAAAGGAGTTACTAATGTTGCCATGATATTTACAGTACCTTAAGTAAACGCTCACTGTTGAGTAAATCCAGCAGCTCTTCCTCAAATTTTTCTAATGAAGGGTACAAATTAATGGACAGTTTGTCCAAGTACCACGTGACTGATTTCATGAGGTGGGGTTTTCGAAAGAAATCATCTGAAAAGACATCCAGCCATATGTTACACTGCAGTCACCCAAAGAACGTAAAAATATCACAAAATATGGCCTTGATATTCAATCCCATTCTCTGACCAAAGCAGACAATACAGCTGAAATACGTGGTACTCACATGGAACTCACAATAATGAGCCCTCATCTTTCCACAGCTAAAATTAATAAACAAATGCTAACTTCGGGAGAAGTCTATTTTCTCCTTCAAAATGCCTCCAGAAACAAATTCTACAATCTAGTCATTAAAAGAAAGTAGATTATAAAGGCAAAGGAACATCTGTTACTTCTTCAGCTTAGTTTCTTTTTACGTCTTATACTCTTCTCCAGCCAGAAAGAAAGCCAGCTGTACTCCTCCTCCTCCTATTACATCTGCTGTGAACCATCCTGAGTCTAACACACTAGGGAAGCCAACAAGTCAGCCCAATAATTTAACTGGTACCAAGGTGGGGAGCCCCAAGTCCACAACATTATCCCTATGCACCCGCTTGAGAGAGAGCTAGAGTGCCACACAGCAATCTGAGGAGAAGAATGCATATTCAAGCGCCAGCATGAGTTGCAATGGGCGGAATGCTCCTGCAGTTGCATATTCAAGGAAAGGACAATGAGGGAATATGTGACAGCCAAAAATATTGGGGGTGGAAGAATAAGCCCTTCTTGTTCCCTGGACTAGCCCCTTCCTGGGTTATTTACTTCCTCACCCAGCTGCATCACCACTTTTTATATGCACGAGGCCACTACTTCCAAAAATGAAATCTACATTCCGATCCAGAACAGCCAACGAGCAAGAACAGGATAAGGATGACATAAACTGAATGCAGCCGTCCATTGCCCATCTCTCTCTTGACTTCTGTTGTTCTAGCAGGTCACGGTATCACTAGAGAGTCTTCTTTAGCCCAAGATACCCATTCATCTAGATCAGGGATTCTCAAACTGGGGGTTGGGATCCCTCAAGGGGTTGGGAGATTATTACATGGGGGGTCGCAAGCTGTCAGCTTCCACCCCAAGCTCCGCTTTGCCTCCAGCATTTATAATGGTGTTAAATATATAAACAAGTGTTTTTAATTTGTAAGGGGGGTCCCACTCAGAGGCTTGCTATGTGAAAGGGGTCACCAGTACAAAAGTTTGAGAACCACTGATCTAGATTAATAGAGGTTGGAATCACACGGCTCAGACCTGCTCCATGAATCCAGACTGACTTTGAGCAGAGTGTTTATTAAATTTGCAGCAGCAAGCAAAGAGTTTTGAGCCAGAGAGATGGGAAGTAGTGGATGTTTAAGAGAACCTGGGAGAATTACTTTGACCGACCCCCTCAACTTTGCTGGCAGTAGCAGGAGAAGGGATCATACCGGAGTCCTTTAGATAGGAAGGCAAACACATGCTTCAGATAACCCAGACCAGCAGCTACTCTATTGTACAGAATTACATTTCACTTACCAAGACTGCCTGGGGGGAAATGCCAGAAAGGATAAACCGAACTCTAAGCTGTGCAAATTCTTTGAGTGCAGAGTGGTAGAGTGACAACAGCAGATTTAGAAAGTTTTGCATGGCAGGGCTTGGAAGGAAAACTGAACTTGAGTGACCCCATACTCTACTCTGTTTTGGCTGCACTTTGCTAATGGGCAGAGAACCAAGCTAGGCTCCATGATGATGAAAGACACAGGTTGAAGCGTGGGTCACAGGAAGGGCATGAAATATGAAGCTATATAGAAGAAACAGTTAAAAATGGAACAGCCAGTCTCTAGCATTGACAACTGCAACCAGGACCTTTCCAAGCACCTAAGCAAACAGACCAAGGTTTCATGCAAATTTAGAAATTCAGAGATCATTGCTAGATTAAATATGCAAATAGATAAATAATGAACCCTTTATTTATGGTAAGTATTTCCATGGATCTTGGTACTGCAGGGTCCCACCAAGTCCACCATTTCCCCATTATTAAAATAATATCAGTAAGTCACATATAAATATCCCTTTGTCACCCCAAGAGAGCTGGACTGTACAACTCTTACTCTCCTGAGTGAGCATTTATTCACAAGAGTAGTTCCTCTGACTTCCAATACCCACAAGTTTTAGGGAGGGTTTTCTACAGTTTAGTCCATGGTGAATATCACCCATATATTTCCCACCAGACAAGCCTATGGCAAGTATTCTGAACTCCAGCTGTTTTATTTTAATCACAGCTGAGTTTTCTCTTGCCCTAAAAATACAAGGCTAAGCAAGTTACAATGGTGGTCACTGCTGAGGCGGTCAGTCATTCCCCCTTGCAGGAACTGGAGGGGGCTGCAAGTTTTGGGAAGTGAAAGCAAAAATTAAGGAGTAGGAACACCTTCCTTAGGAGCTTTTTCCACAGAAAGGCACCTGGATAAGATTTTATCCTCCTCCACATGACTCACAGTTGAGCATTAACAAACCTACACTACCTACTTAAAAACAAACCCTGAAGGCTATAAAGGGCCTGACAATAGAATTCAATAATACAACATCTCAGGGCTAGTCAGAGCTGCAGGAGCTGTGAGGAATGAGGGAGTTCATAACAAATTAGTGCTAGTGAAGCGAGAATCTGCCTTAATTTGATTTTAGAAACCAAATATACCTTCCTGATTTCATCTACTCTGTTATCTGAAGAGTCAGTCTATCAAATTACAGGGTACATTTTGTTTAAACTTCCCATTTTAAACCAATTTCAACCACCCTGTTCCTATATGTCCAGCTTCCAAGCGGTATTTATTGCTTAATTCTTTTGCTTAAGGCAGGGGAGGGGAGAAGAGCAGAAAGAAGAGGAACTTGTTAACTTTTCCAGACAAAGCTTTTCTCGACAATCAAACAGCAAGAAATCACTAGCCTTGTTTTAGTAACGTTGTTAGGCTTTTAAAAATGAATTAACTAACTGAAAGCAAAGACGTGACAGGGAATAGGCAGGATGAACAGCTCCATGCTTGCGTATTGGTGGGCTATTTGGTCATAACATTACTACATTTATACTGAAGTCAGATGTTTACAAATATCCCGGACTAACCTTATTCAGGGCCCCAGTTCAGCCAGAACTTAAGCACATGCCTAACTCTAAGCATGTGAGTAGCCTCACTGAATAAATGACTGAATTAAATTAAATTAATTGAAAGTCAAGATGTTAAAGGCAATAGAAAGGATTTCCATGGGATTACTCACAGGTTTAAAGTTAGGCATGTGCTTAAGTACCTTGCTGACTTGGAGTCAGAGAGCGATTGTGTCTCTCATCATTGTCTTCCATCTGCAAACTGCTTCACTTTCCACTGCTAGTCAGATTCAGAGGTCACCCCCGGGAGGCTGCAGCTGATCAAACTCTGGTTTACGGAGGCTGACGACGGTGTGAGTGTGACTGCAAGAGGCTGCGTATTGCTAACTGTGTGGCCATGGGCTTGGGGAGGGTGTATGGAACTCAGCTGGACTTTCCCTTATAACACATCTACCTGATGCACCTTTGCCGCAGCTGAGCTGTATGTAGGTGAGCAGTGGAGATGCACAGCCCCAGGTGATCAGCTGGTGTCTGGAAGGAGGATGCTGAGTGCACTTCCTTACCACCAAGCAAAGAACCATTCTTCCTCTGCAGGACGTTAGTGTCTATCTCCCCGCCACACTGTACCTACCCTGTATACCTGAGCGGCTGATTTAGGGTTACGGGGAAAAACAAAGAGGAGCAGGAAGCAGCGAGCTAAATTTTCCCTGCAAGGTACCTCTCAGACTATCAATGTACTGGTTTGATTGTTTGTTCTGCCAATTGTTTGACTGGTAGCTGAATTTGCAAGTAAAACCCAGCAGGCAGATTGGTAAGGCTTTGTGTGACTATAATGCCTAAAACACAGTTCCCCTCGTCTGCCACAAGGTGGGACTGATGCTCTGCAGCTAGAGGCAGAGCTCAGCGGATGTATAAGGATACTGGGCTATACACTGAGGAAATCATCTAAAGACACAGGGAAATGATGTCTCCCTCCTGCTGGCAAGAGCAAGGAGCTCCAAAGTCTGGAGCAACGGGAGAGATTGGAAAAGAAAATCCTTTGGAGACATGCATTATGAAGAGTGGCACTACTCCAGCTTTTCAGATTACTGGCTATTTACTAGCCACAGTTAATGCACTCACAAGGCAACCTGGCATCTCCAGAGCTGTGTTATTGCAACCATGTCATTGTGAAGCTCTGCATGTGGTGACTGTGGCTCTTGTAGAGAGCTCCTTTGCTCTGGAGATCTCACATTTCCTGATAACGTGATGGCTGTGTCCTCAAAGAGAGGCATCCATGGGAGTTATTATTAGAAGGATCTTCTAAGCAGAGGAAGTCACCACTGAAGAACTGATGATCTTGTCTTTATCCCTTAACTTTTCTGAATCACATGGATTTAGCCACCAAGCCACCACTGAATGCAGAACTCTGAAAATTCATGCGTAAAGATTAGTAAGGCTTCGGTGTATCAGAATCATATCCCACTGCCCTTGCCAAATCTACACTTATCCAGAACAATGCCGTGAACAAGGATAACTTTGATACAAGCTATAAAGATCTCTCCTAAGGATCCACTAACTGACTGGTTACTTAAAGCGTCCATCATTCATCTATAGCAGTTTCCCAGGAAGAGAAGCAATTAGCAAAAAAGGGGACTAGATTGAAATGATTCTGTGTCCCTTTTAAGGATTAAAGATACAAACTGTTGTGATTACATTTGTATGAAAGACAAAAATTCCAAAGAATGTACAAAATACTTCCAAGATATTTAACCTCAAGAAAACAGTATAACTAGAGAGAGGCAACTGGAGTCTGAAACTAGAGAGGAACAGTTTAAGTTAGACATTAGGAAACCTTTTATTTTCCCAATACGAGCAAGTAGCCAGTGGAGTCGATTCCACAAGCACCATTCATAGATGTTAAGGCCCAAAGCGACCATGTAGACGGACTTCCTTCACAACACAAGCCGAAGAACCTCATCCACTAATTTCTGCATCAAACCCATAATTT